AAAGTCCATGCTCAATAATCCAGGTGTACAATCCAACAATTTTCAGTCAGGTCACCTGGACAGTTTCTTTTTGTTGCTGAAACCTTTCACCTTCCTTGCTCTACAAGAGGAATTTTCTTTTCTAGAAAGATTCTTTTAGGGTTGTATCAGAGTTGATGACGCCATCATCTACCTGCTGCACAGAGCCTACACACACCTGGACAGGGCAGGCAGCACTGTAAGAGTCATGTCCTTTTACTTCTCCAGTGCTTTTAATACCACAAGACCTGCTCTACTCTGCAGAAGTTCTGGATGACTCTGCCATTGTGGTCTGCATCACTGGTGACCAGGAAGCTGAATACAGAGGTGTGGTGGACAGAACCACCTGCAACTCAACAGTGGAAAAACTAAAGAGCTGCAGGTGGACTACAATAAGAAGATCAGCCTCACAGAAAGGTGAAGGTGCTGCTGAATTTGCATCAAGTTTGGGAGCTAAACCAGGTAAGGAAAGATCTTCAACCCAGCTTGTTCGTGACAAAAAATAAAATCCTGCAAACACTGACTCTCTGATCAAACAGAGTTACAATGTAGAGTCTAAGGTGTGTGATGAGATGCTTCAAAATTCTTATTCTAATAATCAAAAGTTAGAAAACTACTTTGCTTCCTATGGCAGCATGTACATAAAAAGGAGGACGGGGTGACCAACAATCAAACTAAAGCTTCATATTGAAAAATAATAACAAACCAGCTTTAAATTGAAGATTTCCAACCCCTCTGAAAAGGTTTGACCTCCGTTCCAAAACCTTCCATTCATCTCAGAACGCCAGCCGCTCCCCCCCCCCCCCAGGCTGTCCTCAAATGGTCACATGTTGCAGCCGTACCTGAGCCTGAGTTGTCTGTTCACTGCAGCGGTGCAGCCGGAGCTCCTGAACAGTGGAAGTGCACGTTGAGCCATTTGGCGTCGCGGCGGTGCCACACACGAGTCTCCTCTGACTGGCAGGAGCGTGGCCGCCCTTGGCTGTCGATGTACTGCGTCAGACGGATGTAGGCGATGCAGGCGGCCTCCTCGCCAATCAGATGGACGTGGGGGTTGAGGATGGTGGTGTGCACTGGTTTGCTATTTTTACTCAGAACTACAAGAACAGAAAGCAAGGATTCTGAAACTGGAGACATTTTTGTAGGCAAGTTGTTATTTGAAGTTGCTGTTCATGTTGAAACACCAGAAGGAAAAAGATCAAATGTTTAACCAGGTAAATAGTTGCATTAAAATAAACCCACTGATTCTAAGGATATATATATATATATATATATATATATATAAATAATATACAAATAATATACATGTACGCATAGAGTAGGGGTAAATTTAAGGAAAGGTTGTCCAGCTAACAGCCTCTTGACAGAATCTGGTTGACCGCCAACATTTTTGGTTGTCAGCAACTTTTACAATAAAGAATACAAAAAAAATCTTAAGAAAAATAACTGAATAAGTATATTGCAATACTGCATATACAAAGTTTACTATATACAAATGTTCTCGGTCAGCCATCTTGCTTGGAATTTCTTTGCTACTGAGTAGGGCTGGGCCACATCATATCGTTCACGATAATACCGGTAAAAAAAGATTGCCCGGGCAAAAAAATGATATCATGATATGCTTATTTCATGACGTAACACGTCAGGGTGCCCCGCCCCTTTAACAGAACTGAGCGTGCCGAACGACCAAACCGAATTGCGCACCCCCCCCTCCACCTGTCGGTACTGGTGTAACGCTAATTAATTGCACGCAATACTAGCTAACTAAAAAGCTAAAAACAAGCAACGTGCGGCTCAGCTGTTTCTCCATCCAGCTCTAAACTGCAGGTACAGACAACTCAACTGTCTCTCCCTCCCCCCGCTCTAAGCTGACACTCGTCTTTTTTTCCCTCCCCACCCTGCTCTGAGCTGCCGGTGCGGGGTGCGTCTCCCCCGCTCTAAACTGCCGGTACAAACACGTGCAGGTCTGTCTCTTAGTTCCACAGTCCATGAAAGACGGAGCATCAGAGAAATGAATCATTCCTGCAGGAACAGCGGAAGATGAACCACCACAAGCTTCAGGGTCAGAGGATCACCTTGTTACAAGTTCTGGAAGTTATAGCTCATTTAGAGGCGACATATTTTATTGTATGTTAAATTTATGCTCAACAGATGTTAAGCTTTCATTTTATTGTATTTAGTTATTTTGGGAAACTTCACCTGCACTTTAGTTTTTGTGGTGGATTTATTGATCTATATTTTGTGCAGACTTTTTCAATCGAAATAACAGAAGGATATTTTTTATTTTTATACTTGGAGACTGAATACTTTACTAAAAAAAGACATTTCAGTAAAATTACCCCTTGTTTTTAAAAATTTTATACAATACTGCAAAGCAAAATGTTAAGTTAATTTTGTCAAATAACTATGATTTTTTTTTTTTGTTATATCACGAAATTTATCGTTATCGTCAGAATGCTCTGAAATATCACAATATTATATTTGAGCCATATCGCCCAGCTCTATTACTGAGTGTCAGATTCTTTCAGGAGCTGCTCGAGAGGAATTTCCTCCTCATCTTCCTCATTAAACTTTGCAAGAGAAACACTCGCACCCCACACCCTCAAATGTTTTTACGGTAATGACGATGCTCAGACCACTTCAATGTTTAATGCAAAGTTAGATTTTCGATACAAAGGTCCTGGGGAGATCCGGGCGCGGTGCAGAAGGACGGAGTGGGATAACGGTGATCATTATCCCATAATCAGTTCTGGTATCTTCCCTGCAGCGAATTGGTCACGTGCGAACATATACAGTATGTTTAATACGCAGACGTTTAATAATTTATTACGTGATCACCTTCGGTTAGGGTAGTGGGGTGTCCTCCTTTGAAGAAAGTACTGGAAACACTGGTGCTCTCACCTGCAGCCTGTCTCTAAGCCGGAATACTGACATGTATCAAACAGCACGACCCGCCCTGCTCGGCTCTGATTGGGTCAAACTGTGGCTCTGGTTCTCTTCACATTTTGAAAGCAGCATCAGTTTAATCCCGGTGCCATAATTAGATTGGACGGCTTTAAAAAGACCACAACAAAACATGTTTTCCCCCCGTTCATTTTTACAGACACAATGACGGCAATCCCTCGCGGCGATATCTGTTTGTCCGAGATGAGAAAAAGTTGTCTTGGACAAATGGAAACGGCTTATGTTGACCCCTATAGAGTTTAAACTTTTTATAAAAATTATTTTTAAAAGATACTGTACATAGACAGGCCAATTTCTCTACTAATGTATTTATTAATATAAAATGTTCAAATATTTTACCAAACCTAACAGTTTATTCATCACTTAAAGGAAATACATTTTTTTATGTTATGGCGCAAACATTCAAGGGTAGTTTAAAAAAGTTACAAATGTGCTGATTTTTCCTTCAAGTTTGATACTTTTGTTGGACACAACGTATGAATGAAAAAACGTATTATTAACTGAGAAGATCATTGATTAATCTTTTATAAATATAAGTTCTATTGATGGGCAAAAATAATTTTTAACAGGATTGTGTTTTTTTTTTTAATACATTAACACATAACGTCATCTTGTGGCAAAAACTGTCCCTTTGTAAACATCCCTCTAAAGTGAAGACTTCCTGTCCTTCAGCAACACAACTTTATTACCGTAATTTTCGCTTTATAAGTCACCGTTTTTTGCATAAATTAGCATGCCTGCAACTTATACAGCGAAGCGACGCATTTGTTTTTTCCCCACTTTATTAGACATATTTGGACTGATGCAACTCATATGGCGGCAAGTACAGTAATTATATTATTGTTCTGTGCTCCTTTATTCATCCATTTTTATTCTGAATACTGACAAGCCTCAGCTACAGTGTGTCTGTAGAATTAACAAGATAAAGTTAAACTAGAGAGGGTTTCATGGTCCGTTCTCAAAATGAAAGAACTTACGATTATCAAAGTAGAACTTGTGAAAGTCCATGCCCTCCACCAGGTTTCCAAGAGCCTCCGGTTCAAAAGAAGTCAGTCCAGGGTCACAGATTCTCCTGTGGAAATAAATAATCAGCAGCAATAAAAGGAGACTAGGATGTGCAGAAGAGATGTAAGTGTTTCCACTATGTGTGTATTTCATAAGGAACTTAAGAACTTTCTTTGTGGTAGGCGACTTTTTCCCAATAAAACACCCAGACAAAGAAAAATAATAGGCATAAATGCAAACTTACGTGTAAGCCTCAAAATCTCCGTTGTTGATGGCTTCAATCAGCTGCTCGGTCATCTTTATTATCTCTTGTTTACGAGCTGAACACAGGGACAAAAAACAGGTTGTTACAGAAAGTCAACGTCTGCATGAAGCTTTGCCCATAAAGTTCCAACAGACCACTTCAGCTCTGATTAAGAAGCCTTTGCTCTGCACTAAGTGCCGCTCACACTCGGCTGCAGGTTGCTGCTGCCTGCTGGCGTGACTGGTTCAGGACTGCAGCTCTAAACTGGGCCAGTCTTAACTACAGGGTCAGTGGAGCTGCTAACAAACTCCAGCAGAGGACCCGCTGCAGACAAATCATTCCAGAACGATTCTGTTATAAACACGGCCTCTCGGCTTGGAATTGTAATGAGTTGATGACGCAGAGATGCATTCAGGTTCTGGTGCCAGTAGGTGGCATCACAGGGAACCAAATTTAAGTTTGAATTTAAACAAAGAACCTGCTTTCTGTGCTGCCTTTTAAACACATCAAGTAGTACTTGTAGGGTGAAAGTATTGCAGAAGAGTTGTAGAAAAGAAAGTGAGACAAAAAAGTGGGAGCCAAATAAAACCAGCTGACTTACAGGTGGGTGGTGGGCAGTGAGAAGATGACCCGTGGGCCTGTTCCTCAGCAGTGCTGCACTTTTCTAACCCTGAACTCTCATTAGCAGCAGCCTCTACAGAAGCTACTAGCATTACAAGACAAATACACAGAGATGCACACCGAAATGGAGCTTAAAGACAACAATCAGCTTGTCTTGTCAAAATTTGACACAAAACACAGCAAACTCTTAAAATAAAAATTAGGAATGCACAATATATAGCTGTTGCAATAATAATGTGTGCAATATTGATATCATAAATGGTTACATACATGTAAACAAGTATGTTTTTGCTTTAAAACACAATTAAATAAACCAAATTGTATTTGATTACAAAATCTTTGAATGCACTTGTCTATTCTGCCAAAAAGCGAGAATGTCAGTAGCAGTGGTCAGAAACGTGCTCATGGGGGTTACTGTAACAATTAAAGGGTCAGACAATGTCAAATACTTCAAATAATGCAGCAAAAATACATTATATGCTCACTGATAAAACTATTATACAGCAATCTATAGCAATAGCCCGGACAAGCAAAGGCCTTGTATAACCTTTGACCTTGATTTGGGACCTTGACCTTAGAGGTGATGAAAAAAAATACCCAACACGTGGTGTAGTGGTAGTACAAACTTCTATTATGCTTCATTAAATTATTTTGAGCAAATCCATTATCAGAGTTATGCCTCAGACAAGCCATTGTCTATTTAACATATGACCTTGATTTGTGACCTTGATCTTGGAGCCGGTATGAAAAGTGAACATTACATTTCATCTAGTGATGGTGCATATGTGTATGAAGTTTTGTTCAATTTTCTTGAGAGGATGAGATGTTATGGGCAGGACAAGAGAGAGTTTATTGATAGACGAGGTCTATACCATAGTACGGCCGCTGTTCAACAGGTGTATTAAAATATAAATAACTGTTTGTATGCGTTATAATTTTAACCAACTCTGTAAAATCATGTGTGGACATACAAATATATTTTGTATAGTGAAAATTTAAGACACACAGAGACACTTTTAATATGTGACTGAACTAGGTTAATTTAATTTAATGGTATTTCCTCCAGTTATTTAACAGTCAGCAATGGTGTACCACAAGGCTCAGTCTTAGGACACACCCTCTTTACAATCTACAGAGGTAATGTAGGTCAGAGCATCCCTGATGCATCTTTACATTTCTATACTGATGACACAGTTGTTTATTGTCAAGCTAAAACAGTTGCTAAGGCTTTCCAGCTTTTGCAATTCGCTTTTGACACCATCTAGTCAGACTTGCTCCATCTCAAACTTGTCCTAAATACTCCAAAGGGAGGCTTTTTTCAAACAGGAAGTCTGTCCCAGCAGTTCTTCCTCTGATTTTATCCTCAAATGGTGTTCCTATTGAGTTTGTCGATTCCTACAAATATTTGGGTGGAAAACCTAGTAAGGAAACTGAAAGTTAAACTGGGTTTCTTTTTCAGAAACAGATCCTGTCTAACTCTGAATGCTAGGAAACACCTTGTAACTGCGACTTTCCTCCCCTCCATTGATTACGGTGACATTATTTACATGAATGGTCCTACAAGAACCCTGCAGATGTTGTATGCTGTCTATCATGGTGCACTAAGATTCATAACTGGCTGTAACTACCGTACCCACCACTTCACCCTGTATTCACTGGTTAACTGGTCATCATTAACTTCACGCAGACTCTCCCACTGGTACATTTTCATCTTTAAATCACTTCTTGGTCTGCTGCCTTCATACATCTCCTCCTACACGTTTCTGCGTGAGTGCAGCTACAGCGTGCACTCTCAGGACATTATTACCTGCAGTGTCCCCTCAGTACAGACTGAACTTGGCAAAAGGGTCTTCTCCTACTCCGCTCCTGTTTCCTGGAATATCTTGCAAAAAGATCTGACGCTCTCGACCTTGACCTCTCTAAGTGGCTTCAAACATCTGTTAAATTCCTGGCAAAAACCAATGCAGATATGTTCCCGTTTTTAGTTTTCTACATCGCCTTATAATCTAGATGTTTTTGTTTTTCGCTACTTTTCCTCTTGACTGTCCTTTTGTTTGCTATTTTGTTTTGATTTGTAAATAAATAAATAAATAAATAAATTTTTATGCCTTTTTTGTGATTGTCTATTGTTGTCGTCGTTATTCACTGTTGTCATCATTCTTTGTTAAAGAAATCAGGTCTCTCTTGTAACTGACTCCTTAAGGCTCAATGGGATTAACCTGAATAAATAAAGGTTGAATGAATTATGAGCTTATGGGAAGAATTGGGAGTTTCACTGACTTCCTGTTTAGTGACCAGGCTTTCTGTTGACTACCACATCATGATGTCTGTCAGCACCAAAGACGCAAATAGAGGCACAAATGTATTAACTACAATGCAGTACAGTAGTCCCTCGCTACTTTGCGGTTCGTTTTTCCCAGGCTCTCTCTATCTCGGTTTTCCAAAGTAAAATTAGACATTACACACAAAGGCTGATTGATGGATGAGCCTCACAATCGGCATGGATTTTTTATTTAAAATACATTATTTTAAATAATTAAGCACCTGTGTGCAGCCCACAGATGTGGGATGAGCTTCCTCCTGCAGCTGATCAGCTGATCTCCATGCAGAGCGGCGAAATGGGCGTGGCCAAGAGAGCAGCCAGAGGCAGGGAGCTGACATCATGACATTCTGTGCTCCTTTAGAGCGTTTATAGAGTTTAGAAGCATCGCTTAGAATATTGCAAGAGTGTGGGAAGGATTTTAAACACCTTTATATATATAT